AAAAATTGTTACTATTTATTGCTAAATAATGTTAGACCATTTTACATTCATGGAAGAGTGGACAATTTTTATAATTTTACATTTTACATGCATATCTTCAGAATTTTAGCAAACAAAAAATTATTCGTTTTGCAAATTTAATATAGCTTCATGATTTCTAGTGACACATGCTTTTATTTATTTAGCTTGATATACCTCTTCTAATAACATTGATGATAACCAATCTGAACAGTTTTATGCCATGGAGGTAACTCATTGTGAGAGTAAGCTAACTCATTTTCTGTAGTAACTTAACTCATTTTTTTGAGTGAAGTGAAGTTTAACTCAAAATAAAGAGTCAATCTGGATGCATTTCGTATGAGTTTACTGAACACATTATCAGAGTTGTCTGTACTCATTTTTGAGAAAAACCCACTCATGTTTTGAGTAGAGTTAACTCATTATTTGAGTACTTCTAACTCTTTTTGAGTTGTCCTAACTTACTCCAATGAGTTAGTTTTACTCAATATAGATAGTTAATCCAACTCAATATAAAGAGTTATTCTGGATGCAAGTTGAACTCGTTATATTGAGTTGGAATCACTCAACTTTTTTAGCGGTGTGCTCGAGAAGGAACGGTGGTCGCCCACGTTTCTGCGTTTCAAGGGACGTAACCAGTTGAACGTTTCCTTGTCTTGTTTGCGCAGAAAGTTCCTCTCGAAATGCCTTTTTAAAGGCACGCACTGTGCTTTCTTTTAAGCCTGGAAATTCTTCAATAAAGCGTTCTAGGGTTTTTTGTTTCCATTTTCACTTGCGAACTTCCCAATATTTACGCGATCCTCGCCGCTGTATTGAAAATATTTTCCCCTATTTCTCTTAGGATGTTGATTTGGTTGCGAAATCTCGGCGGGTCTTGAAAGGTTTACAACTGCGGCCGCGGTTTCCCTGTGTTCAACCACTCCTAAATTTGTATCCTCCTGCCTCGGTATATGTGATTCAAGTATTTCTACCTCCACCGAATCTTCAGGCGAAGGTTCTTCTCTACTGAGAGAGAAGCCGAACTGAAACAAAGACATGTAATGGTAGTAGACGAACGCTCATGTGTAATTTCTACAGAAAACACGTGTAGTTGTAGAATACTGTAAATGCACAATGATTTCACGTGGTCGGCAGGGATATGTGCTCGTCAGCTGTCAAAAAACCGGAAATACCTTAGATGTTTAAACCTTGAACCCTGCTAGAGTAATGGCCTCTTCATATGAGCCCGGTTGACCGGGCTAGCCCGGTTACCGAGATCTCGCCTCACTCCTATTTCCTTTGTAAAAATTTCGATGTGTTCATATGAGAAGGCGGGCCAGCCCGGTTACCGAGATCTCGGTTGTAGAAACCGAGATCTCGGTAACCGGGATGAAATATTTTCCCATATGAACACTCCAGCCCGGTTACCGGGATGAAAATTTTTCAACTACGCATGCCTTGTAAGGACGCTGACTAAACGGAACGCAGCTCACGCGACCTACAACGCGTGCAAACATGGCGGATGGCGAAGTGTCTTCCACCTTGACTTCGAAGAGATTCCGTTGGGAAACAGACACGGTAAGGCAGTTGATCGACTGTTTACTTGAATACAAATCAAAAATGGCCTATAGAAACCTTGATTTCGACGCCGATAAACAAATTCAGTACCAAGAACTGCGAGTGGACATGGCGAAGCTTCATGAGGACGATGAATCTATATTTGGTCCTGTGGCTGCTTTCAAGTTACCGGATGATTTCAAAACCCGTTCAAAGGAAGAGCAGGCCAAAGCAAAGCATCGTGTAAAAGAGTCAAAAGATATGATAACGAAAGGACAGAAGAGAGTGATGGAAAAGGTGAAGGAAATCAGACAGAGTTTCTCTAAAGCTGTAGTTTCTGGAAGTAGGAGTGGCAGTGGAAAACTTGTTTACGAATTTTACGACAAACTGATAACATTGTGGGGTGGTTCTGCCGGAACAGAGCCCCTTTCTTATGGTGTAGGAGGAGATGATTTTCTGGAAGACAATGAAGTTGTCCAATGTCACAATCCAGAAGATGACAGCTTAAGTTTGGATTTGGAAACTGCAGGTACTTCAGCTGGTTCAAGTGATCTAGGCCCTGGAGATGATGGGGGTAGTGCAAGTGGCGATGTGGCACCTGGTAACAAACGCAAAGCTAACTGTGTACCAAAGCTAATCGACAACAAAAGAAAGCATTTGGAAAAAAAGCTTTCTGCTGCCCAGAGGGATGGGTTGCTTATTAAAGAAGCTAAGGAAGATGCCCAATTTCGAAAGGACCTTGCTGAGGCAATGCGGGAGTCTACAGCAAGTTTTTCTCATAGTATTGAAAGTAAAGTAAATGGTTTGAACCCAGGAGTATCAGTAGTTTGTGTAGTGTGATCATCCGGGTGTGTGTAGTTCTGAAAAGAACTGTTGTTGGTGACTGACGTTTCGACTATCTGTGCGATAGTCATCTTCAGAGTCAAGTGAGGAGTAGTTGTCAGTCGATGATGTTATAAGGTCTGGTCTGTTGAACGTGATTGGTCTGTTTAGCCGTGATGTGATTGGCTGGAAGACTCGTGTAGAGTTGTTAACAGTCATTGGTCGGTTTCGATCCGTCTGTTGTTTGTCGGTCTGTTTGTCGGTTTGTTCACGTCGTTAATGAGTCGTTTGTAAGGTGCTGGTAATTGTTGACATCTGTTGAGAGGCGTCTGTTCTAAGTTAGTGAACCAGCTTTCCAGAGTCAGTCGTTGAAAATAGTTTGTACTGTAGGTTAAGCATTTAGCAGAGTCCCAGTCGATTCTGTGATTAGTTTGTCGGTGATGTTCAGAAATGTGATTGTTTGCATCGCCATTTCTAGTTGCTCGTTTGTGTTCAGTTAGTCGCGTGTTAAGGTTTCTACCAGTCTCACCAATGTAGGAGGCCTGGCAGTCGGAGCATTCGATCTTATAAATCGCTCCCTGTCTGTTGTTGGGTTCGTCTTTGTCTTTAACGTTGGTCAGCAAATGTCGTAAAGTAGTAATAGGCCTGTGAGCTACGCGAATGTTGTAAGGTTGTAGGATCCGCGCGATAGCCTCAGAAGTGCCTTTGATGTAGGGTATAGCAGCTGTAGTCGTGATAGATGTGGAGTCCCTGTTAGTTTCTGTAGTGTCGGTAACTCTGTGAGTGTTTCGTCTAATGAAGTCAGTGTTGTAGTCACCAACAACAGTTCTTTTCAGAACTACACACACCCGGACGATCACACTACACAAACTAGTATTGAAAGTGTTAGTAAAGCTATGACTGATCTAGGTGCAGGAGTTTGTCGATCAATCGAGATGCTATCACAAGCATTGCAACAACCTTATGCAGTACGTGCACCTGTAAATCAGAATTTGTTCTATCAAAACCCAATGCAAGTTGCACCTCAGGCTGCTGAGGGTGTTTATGCCCAGCTGTTTAGCCAACATGGTAGCCAGCAAGATCCAGGAAGCAGTGGAAGCTTTTATTATCAACCATAGAGTTATGACATTATGACATTGTCTAATAGATCTATATTGTATATAGATATACAAACACAACTTGATGCTATGGAAATAACTGACAGAGTTTTCTATTCTATGGGCAAATAAGTTGACCTGCCAATTTCCATTTTTCTGCCAACATTTGCATTTTGTTGATATTTAATTCAATTTTAATACTCAGAGAAGGCCCTGCCTTGTTTTGATTTAATCTGTTATCAGTGGGGAATTTTTGATAATTATTTTTAAAAGTATTTTTTATTCATTGTTTTTCAAATGTAAACAGCCTTGTTTGGCATAATTTGGCCCACAGAAAATGTTTCAAACAGCATTCTAGTGTATCCAACAAAATTTCAGACTTCCTCAGTACGTGTTGTTGTTAAAGTTTTCATACTGAGTTTGACAAATTCAGGCCATAATCCACAGTTGGATTGCTCACTATAGTATTCATAGTTGCCTGATTGCACAAATCTGAGGATGTTTCAGAAAAGGATTTCTTATTACATCTCTACTTGGTTATTTTCCCAACTATATTTTTTCTACTGGTACTGAGTGCTGTTTAAGACAAACATTTTAAGTTAAAATTTTTCTTTGTAATTAACTGAAACCAATACACTAGTTCAAAAAATGGAAATTTATAGTTACAATTAAATTTGAAAAGTGCCACCTACAGTACCTACACTGTAATATGAATCGGTTTTGGCCGATCATATAGGGGCTGGTCAATGAACACTACCAACATTCAAGTGGCCTTAGTTTGTGTTCAAGAATATCAAGTTGTTGTTATATGCTAGGATCTTTCATGTCTTGACAATGTTCAGCTAGCAAATTAAGGGGGAGACCTTTAACTACAAAATGGTAGCTATGGATGACTTCTAACCATCATATCTTGGGCTCCCTTAGTATCCTTGCTTTAGTTTTTGGCCATATTTGTTCTGTTAGAGGTTGCCTTCAGTTTTGGTAGTCATGACCATATTTGGCAAGTCACGTGACCAGAACACAAAAACCGTATAAACTCACACAGCTTACATCCTTCTCCAATGGAACAAAAGCCAACAGGTAGAGTGCATTCAAATGCAAAATTTGTAGAATGGATTTGCTAAAATTCGCATTACTGAAAAAGCTATGACGTCATGAAGTTTTTGTGATGTCATAGCTTCTTCAATAACATACATTTTAACAAATCCATTCTACAAATTTTGCACCTGAATGCACTCTACCCGTTGGCTTTTGTTTCATTGGGGAAAGATGTAAGCTGTGTGAGTTTATACGGTTTTTGTGTTATGGTTACGTGACTTACCAAATATGATCATGACTACCGAAAGTGAAGGCGACCTCCAAGAGAACAAATATGGCCAAAAACTAAATCAAGGATACTAAGGGAGCTCAAGATATGACAGTTAGAAGTCATCCATAGCATGCATTTTGTATTTAAGGGTCTCCCCCTTAAGTTAATTAAACTAAGTACAGCAATACATGTAAATAGGGTAAAGTTTAAGTACTACGTTAAAGATTCTTCAGTACTAATTGTGTGAGTGTTGTCCTCACAACACTCCCTTCTCCCACATCACAAGAGTAAATTGGATCAGGAGTGTTTTTAAACTGATCTTCATTTTCCTTCATAAGTTGAATTTGCGAGTCAACCAAGTCCTGATCAACATACATGTTATGCTTCTCACAATAATTATGTAATACAAAACATGCATAAATAATTGTTGGTATTGCCTCAAGTTTGAAGTCCACTTTTGTAGTGAATATGGACCATCTTGCTTTAAGCCGGCCAAAAGCACATTCAATTTGGTTCCTGGCAGAACGCAGCATGTTGTTGAAAACAACTTGTTCATTACTGGTACATGAATCATACTCTTTCATGCAGAAAGGAAGCAATGGATAAGCTGGATCACCAAAGAGGTAATTAGGTATTTTGACACCACCTGGAATTGGAGTCTGAAATGTACAGGGCAATTTATTACTTCTTAATTTGGCACTGATGGAAGAATTTGCAAAAACCTTTGCATCGTGGACACTTCCAGGCCACTTACATTCAACATCCATGAAGGAGCCTTCATAGTCACACACAGCCTGCACACTTAATGAAAAAAACTGCTTATAGCAGAAAAAATCTTGTGAGTTCTCTGATGGGCACTGAATTGGAATGTGTGTCCCATCAATGCAACCAAAAGCTTGTGTCATGCCAAATTTGGCTTCAAATTCTGCTACCTTCTCCCTCATGCTTTCTTCATCTTCAGGAAGATGGAGATATTTCGGGCCAAGATAGTTTGAAATAGCTTGACAAACCTCATTTACAACAGCTGATGCAGTGTTGAGTACTATTCCAAAACTATTGGCTGTCATTCTCAGGGAACCAGTGTCTTTTAAAAAATACAATGCAACTGCAACCTTTTTTTCTGCACTCAATGCCCTGTGGTTAGGTGACTTTGGGTTTGGTGAAATGTATGGCCTTAGCTCCGATACCAGGTTCACAAAAGCAGCCCTTGACATCCGAAAGTTCTCTTTCCAACATTCTTCAGGTGCTACTCCCGTCCAGATGTTTTTCCACCACAAGTCAGTTCGACCGGGTTTATGCCAACAGCTTCGTTTTTTTCTGTACAAATCTCTCTGCTTCAGCTGCTTTACATTTCGGAAGAAATAACTTTTCTTCCGCAACAAGCCGATCCGGATTGCATCAATCTGCCTGGTTTGATGTATTTTCCATAGCAAAAGGACCCCGTGAAGTTGTAGCACTAGAGCTACGAGCGTTGATAACGCTACGATGGGAGCGAACGATATAACTGTTGAACGTGGCGCCATCTTTGTTTACTTTCTTGAATTTCGCGCTCAAACTCGTTCCCAGGGCCTCAGTCCACGTTTCGCGCCCTTTTCGACTCTTTTTCATCCCGGTAACCGGGCTGAAATTTCCCATATGAACAGACGACAAAATTCGTCCCGGTAACCGGGCCAGCCCGGTTACCGGGCTCATATGAAGAGGCCCCGAAGGACCTAAAGATCAAACAAGCCGATTTCCCGCCTCAAAGCAGGTCATATCTTGGCCTTAAAATAACAATTTTTTGTTTTTCTTCTGTCGTCAACGTCAATCAAATCTGAAATACGGGCAAAAATTGGAGTTTTGCAATTCTGCAAAGACAACACGTGTGCACTGCTAGCTACAGCTATCGGGTTAAAATTTTAGTCACCGGTTTTCTCTTCAAACGTTTTATTATGGCGAATTTCAACCCATACCAGTTTACGAATTTACGTTATTCACCTGGTTATTCGCAGTATGGGGATGGATTGTTCGCACCCTTTGGCTCGCAGATTTTTCCCCAAGACTCGCAGCCATCGACTTCGACCTCGAGCTCGCAGCCGTCTTTTGACCGGGCTTTTGAACATCGCCAGCCAATCCAGCCATCACCAGTCCCTTCAGCTGCCTCAGGTGAAGCAAAGAAGTCCAATCAAAGGGAGAGATGGAGTTTCGCCGACGAAAAAGTTCTATTGCAGCTTTGGGCTGACAATATTGAAAAAGTGGAAAGCAAAGATAGCCGCAAAGCCTGGGAGGAAATTTGCAAGGCGCTGAACGAAAGACAAGGCCTAAAGAAAAACGTCGACCAGTGCCAGCGCAAAGTTAAGCATTTGAAGAACCAGTACAAAGAAAAGAAGGACTGGAATCGTCGGCAAAGTGGGGGAAATTTGCGCTAAAGTCCTCATTACGACATAATTGATTCTGTCCTTGGCTGCCGTGATATCATCACGTGTAACAACGTGGAGCAAGCTGGCACGCAGGCTGCAGAAAACAGTGGAAGCTCGGCAAATAGTCCAGAAACAAGTGCTGCTGAAGCGTCGAGCAGTTCCAGTTCGGCTGGTCGCACCACCCCTACAACCGCTGGTAGTTCAGTGGCAAGAAGACGCGAAAGAAAAAAAGTAAAGGGTCAAAAGCGGCCTGCTCGCGTGCACGACAGCGACAGCGAAGATGATACAATTGGCGAGGCCATCAAAAAGCTTGCCACTAAAGGGGAACAAATGGCTAGTTTTATGGAGCGGATGCAAGATTCGCAAGGACAGCAAATTCAGCTCATGTCCCAACTTGTTGGCTGTTTTAATAAGTATATGGAAAATAATAAAAAGGAATGAACTGAATGAACTGTCTGAATAATGAATTGAACACACAAACTATTATTTTGTTACTGTTAAAATGCGATTTAATGCAGCGATTTCTTGTCATTACACATTGATACGTTATATGATCATTATTATTTTAAAGTACAGTGAGTTTTATTTTCAAATATCAGATGATTCCATGAAACGATTCAAAATAAACTGATTATAGCGACATGTTTGAATGATTGGGCACATTTTAGCATAATGGAATATCAAAGTTTCGTGTTATTAAGCATCAGAAATCACGAGACAAGTGGCGATCGAGTTTGAAAAAATAGACAGAAGTACAATCATACTTAACTTTTTAATTTTGTAAATCAAATAAAAAATAAACTGTTTTTGAGCTATCTATACGTTGCCGCAGACAAAGTCCTTTAGTGCACCCCTTATTTCATCGGCATCTCCAGCAACTACATTATTGTTTCCATCGTTGTTGGGTGGGCCGTCGTCGTCGTCATCATCCCAGTCATCATTAGCTTCTATACAAAAATTATGAAGAACAATGCATGCAATAGTAATCTTGATGGCAAAATTGAGGGAGCTGTCTAGGCGTTTTTGTAGCACTCTCCAACGTCCCTTTAAAATTCCAAAGGCACGCTCTACAACAACTCTTGCCCTGCTTAGCTCTTTGTTGAAGGTTTTTTCATCGGGATCATTTGTTCCCTCTGGAAATGGCTTTATGAGCCAGGGTGTTGGCGGATAAGCACTATCTCCAACTAGGTATGGACCTATATCATTCCCATCAATATCTTGTCGGAAATCGTGTGTTTACGTAATCAAAACATTTTAATGCGTATAGAATTGTTTACATGACCGGAAAGGGATAGGCATTGAATCTGTCATCGCTAGTAACTTAAGCCAATCAAAGAACACATTGTACAATTTGCTGTATCCTTTGTTCTAGAAATCGAAGAGTGTGTTGTAATCGCAATCGGGACATCGTGAGACACAAATATATGTTTAAAATTCTATCGTGAGTGAGTGATTCTAGCGCGAGTTTATCGGGAAAAACATTGTGTTGTCAGGCAATTATCTAATTCCCAACACAAAGTGGCACCTCCGACGGGACTGAGCGAGAAACAACGAAACAAAACAAGAGAATCAGCCAAGAAGCTCAAACACTGCAAAAAATAGGACTCTCGATTTGAGAAGGAACATTTCCTTACTCACTTATAAAGAGGAATATTACCTTGAAATAAGGTTTAGAACAATTAAAGTAAGGGTTTCAAGACTTGTGGAAAGGTATGTAACCTTATTATCAACAGAGCATTATCTAATTCAACTTAGAAAAAGTGTTAGGCTGTTTAAATTACACTTAAATTAAGAAAATGCAAAAATTAGGACTCTTGATTTAAGAAGCAACAGTTCCTTAATCACTTGTAGAAAGGGATATTACTTTGAAATAAGGTTAAGAATAATTGAAGTAAGGGTTTGAATACTTGTGGCAAGGTGTGTAACCTTGTTATAAACAGAGCATAATCTAATTTGCCTTAGAAAAAGTGTTAGGCTGTTTAAATTATACTTAAATTAAGAGAATATCATATATGTGTTACTCGAATAAAGGTACATTTTTCATTATGACCCTTAAAGCAATTGTTACTCCCTTAGAAAGAGAATATAGAAATAAAAGGTCCTCAAAAAGGGTGATGATATATTCATAGCCTTAAATTGAGTGATTACTATTAAACCTGTTTTTAATTGTAGTAAGTAATTCCCTTAATGTAAGGTAAATCAAGTTTTTCAAAGTGTAATATTCAGAGTAACCCTTCAAAATTTAAATCTTTAATGACATTCATTTCAACTCCACAACCCAACAATGACCTTCAAGAGAAGTTTTGCTTGAGAAATTCAGTGTTGTTACCAAGGCCGCCCAATAAAATGTTCCACAGATTTAGCAAATAAAAATGGTGGAGTTTAACAATAGTTTTCCAACCAATTATCCTTGTAATCAAGTTGTACATTACAAATTAAAGGCAACAGATTTGTGGTCATTTTGGATAGTTTGTTAGAAAACTATTGTAAACCTCCACAATTCGCAGAAACTATTGTCTGGTGGCCTTGGTTAGAGTAACAAACACTGTGAAACCATACATTAACAACAAAGTCATTCCAACTCAAATAACAAACTACATGTAGGTAACAGTTACAGTGAATCACATAAGTCAGTCACATCATACTTAGTGTTAATGTACATTTTTTGATCAAGTTCCCACTTGTGCAGTACTTCATGGTTTAGAAGGCTGTCAAATAAGCGTGATGACGATTTTTGACATGCCGATAAAAACTATCATACTTCTTGTACGACTTTTCAAAGTTTGAAATACCGCAGGTAATTTCAAACTCTTTATCACCAGAGTGAACTTGACGAATATGGGCCAACATTTGGCTCAAAAGCAACGCCGCAAAACCCACACACAAACCACATGTCCACATCGCCATTTTCGAGCTTTTCTGTGTCCAAAGTGTTTGTGGTCAGCGTAATTCTATTTTGTACAGCTGCTGTAAGTCACATGCTACAAATCACGGCTTTTCATTGGTCTTTTGGGGTAAAAGAATGACGTCAACGAAGAAGGCACATTTGCAGCGCTCGTCATTTGGCGCGGGTCAGGGAGTTGTTATTTCCAATGACACAACCTTGCCTGAGGAGCTTGTGGAAGTCTTACCAAGTGAATGGAATCTTGAGGATGATGAGCTACCAGTTGTACCACATTTAAAGAAATACTTCACAGAGAGTGCATGGCTTATAGTGGAAGATGGCCTTAAACATTTAAAACAGAAAGCCAATAACTCTGGTAAGCAGAAGTTCATAAAGGTCAGCTGTCAGTGTTTTAGATTTAAAGCATTCAACAATTTTTAAATGCCAGAAGCTGATCATGAAAATTCATTCTTCTATATAGCAAAACAGCTGAACTTCCAGCCATCACGTCTCTATTATGGTCACTTTACTTGACACCAGATTGACCAAAAGTGAAAATCAATTGACAGCTCTGCAGTTAAAGAATCAGGTTATTTCAAGTCAGTGCAAAACCTTTTGCTAAGTGCAACTGAATATATAAAAGATCATATATTTGAACAGCAGAGAAAGATATGATGACATGATTGATCATCGCAGTTATACGCAAATTAAGCAGCTGTAAAATTAAAGCCTAAAAAAAAAGAGGGCTAAATGGGACTCAGACCCATGACCGCTCAGGCCTGAATTTTTTCCAGGCTTTAATTTCACAACTGCGTAAGTTTTGTATAACTGCGATGATCAATCATGTCTTCACATTTTGCTTCGAGAACGAGTTACAGCTGTAATCATTTTGTTTTAGTGGCTAGTAATTTTTTTTTTAAAGTTGTGAATTTCATTTGTTAACAGGTAAAGAGATTAATGCGCTGCTCTCACTCACCAAGCTATTTCCTGGTTTAAGAAAACTGAAGAATACAGGATCTGATTTTGTGGTTAATGTTGCAGAGGTGAGCCATTACACAGCCTTTATGCATGTCAGTACTTTTATGTTATCAGTGAAAAGATCACAGTTATGTTATAGCTGTTCAAATTTCTATCGAGGTCCCAGGGAGACATAGTACATCCAGAAGTAAATTAATACTACTGACAGCACAAGTCCCAAGAGTGATCTACATTTGTTTTTTCCTTTATATACAAATAGGATATCAAGCGTACAAGTTACAAGAAAGAATAATCATAAGCCAGGAGAAATTTGCTTTATTTAACATTAAATTCTCAGATCTAGATCTTTAAACACTCTGAAAATAAAGTGGCAGTCAGTAAGGATAATTTTAGTATTTATATTGGGGCTTGGAGGGTAAATTCTAAAAATGTACAAATCATTCAGTTCACTGACATAAAAAATAGCTCTTGTTTTTGCTAGTGAGTGTTCTTTCATATGTACACATAAACAACAGTAGAAATTGTCTGCTTTATACAAATGTGTACTAAAAGTTTGGGACAATGAGAATGTTATGTTAACACAAATTTATTATTGACATTTGGCCCTTTCTTTTAAATTTCAGAATGGCAAGTCTGTCACAGAGTTTCTCAAGAAACCCCCATCAACATCACCTTACATCATAATCAGTAAAAGAGGAAATGGCTGGCAAACATTCCTTGCTTGTGGTGGAAACTCAATACTGGAGACAACTACCATCAGCACTGGAGTTGCAGCTCTAATAGGATCATACTTTCTATTCAATTTTGAATATCCGCCTGAAGCCAAAGGTGCATTTTTATTTTTACAAGAGTACCTGCTGAATGATTTCGTCAATCAGAGGCACTCTAAGTATGCAGCTGCCCTGGTTCGGTACCAGACTGCAGCCATGAAAAACTCTAGTTCACCAATGGCCAGTAAGTCTGCAGAGAATGACAGTGCCTAGATGGACATGTGATCATGCTAAGAACATGAGACTTTGATGTTGTTGTTTACCGGTAACTACTTTCACCGAGTGTGAGGCCTTTTATGGTTGAGACTATCAAGTTAATATGAAGTGAAAAAATGTATGTGCACAGCAAATGTACTATTCATACATATGAGGATTAAAAAGAGAGCCAGTGCTTGATATTGATCTTGAGTTATAGCCGTCCTCTCTACCTAATAAATGTTTAACTACATGTTGGCAGAAGTATTAGTCTTGCCTGAAATGAGGAACCACAAGGCCAAGTTGCTACAGAGTAACTTGAAACCTTACTAGAAGCACATAAATTAAGAAAATCCCTTGATTTCAGCTCAATGTACCCTTAAAGTGATAACCTTCATTGCACCTACAGTTAGTTCTGTGTTACTTAATGTGATGACTGTGTGCCTCGGAACAAGAAATAATTTACACTACAAACTCTTGATTTGAGGCCAATATACATTTTGTACCCTTGCAATAAGAAAGTTGATTGCACCAATATCAGAGGAATATTCCCTTACTTTGATGCTTATACCCCCTTGTAACAAGGAATGTATAAGACTTAACATGAGATGTAAAAACTCTTGATTTGAGACCAATATACCCTTGCAGTAAGAAACTTAATTGCACTAATATCGGGGGAACATTCTCTTGCTTTGATGCTTATACCCCTTCTAACGAGAAATATATAGGGCTTAATATGAGATTTTAAAACTCTCGATTTAAAAGCACTATGCCCTTAAACTGAACATATATGTTTTTAAAACAAGAACTACAATGCTATTAATATAAGTTTGAATTGCCTTCTTTAAAGAATTACAATCCCTTAAATCAAGGCTTCCATTAACCTTATACTAAGTTTGTTGTGCATCTCATTTTGAGTGTACAAAACCCAGATAAGGCCCTTGGTTTAAGAAAGAAGCTCCCTTACCTGAGGGACCTAACTATGAGGTGCCATTGCTCTTAATGCGAGTTAATTTTTTCACTTAAAGTAAGAACTTAGTTTTTGCAGTGAACAACACAACGATGGAGGCGTTGATCTCGGAGTTGGATGTCCAACTAAAGCTACTCAAGTTTACCCAAGGGAAGACCAAAGCAATCGTCGAGAAAGCGAACAGGGAAGGAATAGAACGGCATCGGGATGCTCTGCGAGCAGTCGTGAAAAAGGTCGAAAGTGTAAAAACAAAAATCGAGCAAGCGAAACTGGAAAGTGGCGTTCAGGTCGACGAGCTAACAAAATGGAGCGCCGCAGTTGAAGCACAACAAGAAACTGCTGACGAGGAGATCACGCATTTATCGGAAAGACACGTTCAAATGAATTATAAGACAAGGATGCAAGCGAAGGAAAGCGAAGAGGAGCTGGCAGAGCGAGATCGACAAAAGCAGCTTGCGTTTGAACGTACACAACTGGAGATGAGGTTAACATATCACTACGAAATTACTGCCCACTGACCTTAGAAAATTTCATATTGCTCGGTCCAGGCTTTTTATTGCGCGGCCGGTCTACTGCGCAAGCGCTGTGGTGTGAAATTTTTGAAACAAGATGGCGGACCCAGAGGGAAGGTCGAGTGTAGACTTAGAAGATTTCAAATTTATTTCTTTACTCGAGTATTCGGCGGATAACAGAAAAGTTAGTCGGAAAAAGCACTTACTGAATGCCCGTCAGGAACAATTTTTCTTACCCGAAGGACACTGTTCGTGTATTTTATGGGAAAAAAGTCCGAAGGAATCCGAAGAGAAACATGTGGGGATATTGTTTCTTGGAGGAGCTAGATACAATGAGCCGTCCACATGGGAGTTAGGGAATTCCCTTACTCTAATGGAATTCATTTTATCCAGTAGTGATGTTGAAATTAATTCTTGCAATGTGTTTGGACCCGATAAATTGAGAGGATCATCTTTGTTTCCCTTGCAAGGGAGTACGCTCATCAACGCACGGTCAAAGTTACCGCCTGATCCTGAGGAGTATGTTTTGCTTTTGTGGGGAGGGATAGATACGAGAACCATGACATGTACGAATGAGCTGATGAAAATAAATGTTACTGCTAAAGACAAGCAAAATAAAAGGACAGCAAGTGGTTCTAAAAAGATGCCCGAGTCTTTGAATTTTGAAATAGACTTGACTGCTTTAACTGGGAACAAAACACCTTCAACTGAAGGTTCAGCTTTTCAAATGGGAACAGTTCCTTCCCCAAGAACAGGGCATAGTTTTACTACAATTTCAAGTAAAAGAGCCATTCTGTTTGGTGGGGTCACCTTAGAAAACCGCCTTGAGGGTGTGGACAATATCTTTAGGCAATCATGTAAGGATGGAAGGCTATATGCCTTCAACATTATGGAGAATTCTTGGACATGCTTGTCTGAGGAAATCCCTCCAAGAGCTTATCATGCTGCAGTGTTTCGGTCAGCAACAAGCACTCTTTACATTGCCGGGGGTATTCAACTGGCTGATGACCATGCAGTTGAGTATTGCAGTATTCATGAAGTTACAGCAGTAGAATTTAACTTTGCCACAAATACAATTTTGTCCTCTTCTCACCCATTCCACAAAAAGTGGGCCCAATAGCCATTTTCAATGTCTTTGTTTTGCGGAGGCCACAAGAAAAGTTATAGCCGTACATTTTTAGTGCCCAGGTAGAGTAGACATGGTAAGTTCAAAGCCCCAAATGCAAAGTCGTATGTATCTTATACCATTTTTTTGCATTTGGAGCTCAAAACCCCCTAAAAGTACTTTTTTTCAGTGTCCACGATGGAACGGTAGAACAAACATCTTGATTATAAACCTCTGAATGATCCCCGGGTAAACATTCGATATGTGTAAACCGTCCAATAGTAAATGAACTTAAAATAAATTTTGATGTTTCATAGTGCACTGCATTAGTCCGATTTTAGTAGTCACAGAATTGATGTCCACAAATTCTTTGTAACTTCCGTTACCGAAATAAGAAAAGTAATTTAACTGCGTTAGAAATCCCTGTATAATCTCTTCTTACCGTCAATTACTTATTGTTTCATCGCAGTTTCAATATTTTAAGTCATCACCTCCTTTTCTACAAGTGGCAATGATAGACTTCCCTTTGAATGAGGCCGAAGAGCACCGTATGGTTAAGAATGTAACTTCCGTTACCAGTGTTTAGCGAAAACAAAAGTTCCTTTGCTTCAAAATGTTCTGTGCAAGTACGAAGGTACCTACAATCAGTAAGCTCACAGACTTATATTAACTGGCTTGTGTCTTGGAAAGAAGTGGAGGCACAAAAGATCTCAAACTGTAACTTCCGTTACCATTTATTTTGGAATATCTTAAATACGCGTCCTTTGGTTGAGTTGCACTTTGGAACATCATCTGGCTGTCTAAAGTCGCGGCAAAATAAACATGACTGACATTATTGACATTCCAGTGTTACGCAACAACCCCTCCGTTGCCGTATTGCGACACATTCGCCAAGACCGAAGCGTTTGTTACAAATTTCTCAATTTTTCATTGTCAGTCGTTCATCGAAATTGACAAAATCCAAAGGTGAGTAGTATCAATATGATGTACATACAAAATTTATTTGCATTGACGTTTTCTTTTGGCTAAAAGCCTCGTTTTCTGTCAGACAGTAAAAATGTAACGGAAGTTACAAAAACTGGAAGTGGCTTGTTAGGGCCTTAAAACGGGTTTTGGAGTCACAAGAATGAAAATTTTGAACATCAGAGTAGAATATATCGTAAAAATAATCATATCTAAATGTTTAAGCTGTAGGCGTTTAGAGATATTTATGAATAAACCAATTTTAAACGGCGTATTTAAATAATAAAACTGAATCGTTGCGTGACATAATTGGACCTACTCTTCACACGATCGCAGATGCCAAAAAGTCGTGCAGAGATTCAAAAGGCTTACCGTGAAAGGCAAAAACAGAAAGAAGGGAGAGATTACGTGGAAAGAGAGAGGACAAGAAAAAGAAAAGCCTACATACCTGCTGCAAATTTGGATGACAATGCCCTTAAGAAGCGAAGACTGGACCAAAAAGCCCGGGTGGAAAAATTCGCCTTTGTCACGGCCCGCCATCTTGGATTACGTCATTGAATATTGTACATGAGGTCGAGGCCACGCGTGGTAAGTTCACAAACAAAATGGCGACTAGTAGCGATAGCGTTGAACTCGAATTTTGGCACAAAAATATAACAAAAATACCCAAAGTTACAAACTCTTTTGTTGAGGATTTTGCTGAGAAGAACCTACCGATCAAAGCCACTGTAACAAGAGGATATAAATTCTTTCACGAAGAATATATTCACGATATTGAAGGTGAGCCTCGTTGACCTCGTGGTAGCTTTCTTTGTTTGACTGTCTTTCCAATATTTTGTTTCTGTGCTCAGTGTTTTGAGTTTTAACTCTTTTTTCTCGGTTTTTAACAGTAAAACTTTGCAAGGAAGAGGATTCAGGAGTAGTGGCTCGGGCTAAATGCTTCAGAAGTATGAAAAAGAACGAAGATCCTCACAAGTTGTCTGTTGTGTTCGAGAGCTCCTCTATTGAGGCTAGCATCAACAAGTATATGTGTAGTTGTGCTGCTGGACAAGGTCTTTGCCATCATGTTCTTGGATTGCTCTATACTCTTGCCCATTTCCAGCTATTAGGCTTAAAAAGTGTCCCGCCAATGGTTTCTAAAACATCAAAGGCACAGGTAAAATTTAATAATAATAATAATAGATTTGATGATAAACAATAAGAAAAAACAGTCATTAATGTATAGAGATTTGACTGTATCTTACCAATATTTTTCCTTAAAAACTCCTTTTAATCACACTGCTGTTTTTAAACATAACACAATAAGCAATTTTGAATTCATATAGTATATTTGTATATTATTTTTTTGCAGAGATGGCATATCCCCAGTCGTAAAGAGGGCATTAAAGCAAGGCCAGTGACAGATTTGATTATACAAAAGTCAAAGCCAAAAGATAAATTGCATGAACCTAAAAAGAAGAGAAAGGTGTGTGGTGTGGCAAGCACGATCTACAAACCCTTCCAGCAATCATTAAGTAGCCTTGACTTGACTAGTGTGCTGTCGCCACAGTTTGAAAATCTCAACAATCAACCTGGATTTATGAGAATATGGGAAGATGAACAAAGTGAGCCTCCAATTTTAGTAGACTCGGCCTTTGGAAAGGTGCCAAAAGGCTGTGTCATAAGCTATCAACAGCCATTGAAAGTTAAGAGCAATATTAACATACAGCTACCTGCATTCAACTTTCCATCTTTAAGCTATCCAGATACAGTGCTCAATGAAAAACAAGACCTTTTCTTCAGCTCCCTTGCAATATCAGGTCAACAGTCTATTGACTTTGAAATGGAGACAAGGGAACAGTCAACTACAACAGCATGGCATGAACTAAGGAAGTTTAGGCTTACAGCTTCAAATTTCAAAGATATATGCTCAAGAAGAAAAGACCATGAAATCCTTTCTACGCGTTTACTAAAGGGAAAAGTAATCCAAACTGCAGCCATGAAATATGGGATACAAAATGAGGGGGTAGCTGCTGATATGTACAAAACACAGTTTGGCAGAGACACTCACCTAGTAGGTTTTCTTATAAAACCATGTCTCCCACACCTAGGCTGTAGCCCAGACAGAAGAGTGTTTGACGACACTGAACAACATCCATGGGGCCTGATAGAAATAAAGTGCTCTCCAGCAAGTCATCTGGATAACCTTCAGTATTTAAAGTTTAATGAACGAAATGGGTCATATTCATTGAAGAAGACACACAAGTATTATTATCAAGTTATGGGATGCCTTGGTTTAACAGGAAGTCAGTGGTGCGATTTCTTTGTTTACTGCAAGGACGAATTTCACTGTGAACGAGTATATTTTGATGAACTTCTCTTTTCTGAAATGCTGGACAAACTGAATTTATTTTTTTTTGATTATCACCTGAATACATGTGTTCAATAATTTATTGTATGTCTCTTATACAAAATAACTTCGTGCCTAAGTAACAAGCTAATTGTGTGTGACAAAGTTTGGTGGGAAGTGGAGTAAAGACATTTGAATCAGCATTCTTAAAATGTTAAAATGTAACAAGTCAAACCTAATTAGACTCAGAACTTGTTCTAGTAATTATCATTACACAGCTGTTTGCAGAAATTATTGCCACAACTTTAAAAACATTGGGTTCATGATTGGTAATTTAATAGTTTTTGTATTTTTTCCAAAAATACAATACTTATGATAATTCAGTTTCATTTAAGCCTATATGTCTGTAATATATTGTAAGCGCCATAATTTTTACAAACAGCTGTACATATTTCATTGTTTATCATGCATTCAAATACTGTGACTAAGTTGGGTGTATTTCAAGCCATTTAATAGTTTTTTACTGTTATTAAACAGAACATTCTGTACAAACATGATAAATAAAAATACATGAATGACTTCAACAGGTTTTGTATTTAAACCCCAAAAGGGCATTTTTATAATATTTGGCAATAATGAAATTTGTGAATAAATGTAAAGTTATTAAATTCATAATTTTTTTTTCCAAAAAGCTAGTTTGAAAGCTTGCATTGAATCTGTAAAACAAAAATAGTACTAACAATATAATTTTTACTGATTTTACTGTTTATTTTAATGCCTAACCAATATGCCATGTACATACGAAAAGGGTGCCCCTAGGGGATAGGGCCACCCTACTATTCACCCTTCCACATCACATGTTAACAGATGGCATAGTTCTTACCTAGGTTGGACCTAATACGTAGTGTACCCTCACTCAATGTCAACTAACTCTTAGTTGTTAAAAGTTGTTAGTACTATTTGTATTACAGATCCTTACATACTTTACTTTAAATGATGCTTACTCTTCCATCTATTTTACAACAATTGTATACATATTTAGATATATTGCTTTTCATGCAACAAAGGCCCCTGGAAATTGGTAATAAGACATGCCACTGTCCATATTTGATTAATGCTGCCAGCTACTGTAAGAGGTATAACTTTATCAAAATAGTGAAACTCTTTCACCCTTCTTATGGCCCTTTCCACATGGACTCTTAAATTATGTATCTGTTTACTGGTTGAAAGTTCTTTCTTTGAAAATTGACCCTTACTTGACAAAAAGGCAAGCATTGCTACTCCACAACCTATTGGCTTTAATAGATCCTCTATAGTAAATCCTTTATCAGCCATTATTTGATCACCTGGCTCAAGTAAATTCAACAAACCTGATTGCTTAACAAGCTCCTTGTCAGAAATACTTCCTTCAAAAAGAGAACTTACATGAATAATTTCCCCAGATGGAGATATTACAACATTGCCTTTGTAAGTTGTGTGGCTCTTATATGATGAATAGCAATTGCTATTCAAAACCATACTAGATGGTGCTTGTACCTTGATCTCTGAGGCATCAATAATACCACGGCATTTAGGATATAACAATTTAAAACACTTAGGCATATGTTTGTCAATTTTTGCCCGAGAGGGCCATATAGGAATGGTTCCCAAAACAAAATAGAGAAAGTTAACCCAAGAAATAAAAACTCTACTCACAGTTGAAATAGAAATATCAAATTCACTG